GAAGGAGGTGGCCGAGTCCGGCCGAGAGACATGGCAGAGGGATGATGGAGCGGCGCTGGATGCTTTTCCACCTGGTAGGAGGAACCGCAAGCATTTTCTTATCGGAGAACCAAACGGAAAGGAAAACCCGAAATAAATAATTAAAGAAAGGAGGAACGGAAGAATCAAAGAAAACCCTTCGGGGAGGAAGAGTTTCTTTTTCGTTAGTCAGCTGCCTTTACTTGGTTTCTTTGGCTCACTCCATTGCTGGAGCCTGATCCTCAAATGATACCCTAGTGGAGTCCCTGAAGTCGGGGTGCCTCAGGTCCATGAGAAATTTGGTGGGAGTGAGAATGTGAGTAGAACCTGCGGGAGAACAGAGCGGGGCTGACGGCTGCGCCAAACGAACCCCCTGCCCACCCAAAACACACGTACACCCCCATCGTTTTTTCGGGGTGAGGAAGGACGCGGTTGGCACCCGGAGCATCGTAGGCGCATGCAGGGGATGGTCCCCGGAGAGACGCGGGATGAGACGGGCGGGATGGAGCTGGGCGATGAGGGGGGGTCCAGTGGCTGCGAGAAGGAGGGGGACACTGCCAGGGGCTGCGAGAGGTGACGGAAAGGGAGGCTGCTGCTCCCAGGGGAATACAAGGAGCAGATGAGATGCCGGCAAGAAGTTCTACCAGTTGGTCCAGGCGAGAATCCAGGGACCAGATGAGACAGTGAGGGGCTCCTTGCCCTGCCCTACAAGGTCTGTGTCCAGCTGTGCTTCCCCAAGAGGGGGGGAATTTTAGGGGGGATCTAAAAGCTCCTTGCTAACATCTGGCAGGGCTTCCACCATATCCTTCACGCCTGACCCACAGCTCTTTCGGAAGCTGAGACCAAGCAAGTGACGCACATCCTGTTGCAAAAGACCTTTCCGCAGAATTCCAGCTCCCGCAGTCATCTGGAGCCGGGAATTGGCGGGATGGCGGAGGGAGCGTGGGATGAGCAGCCAGCGCGACGGGGCGCAGGATCCGGCCCCCCCGGCTCCCGCTCACCTATTAGCACTTCCCACTTGCCGCTGGCTTGCGTCACCTCGTAGGCGCAGCGCATCTCGTTCATGCTGACGCCGCCCAGGATGAAGATGATGAGGCGGGGGCCGCTTCGGTACTCGCCAGGGGCTTTGTTCTTGTGCCAGTGGCCGTAACGGGCACTAGAGAGAGAGGAAGAGGAGAGAGATGAAGGCCGGGTAGGGAGGATGTTCAGCAACAAACCATGCACTGAGTTCACATCTTAATAACAAAAAAAAATTAAAAATCACACATTAATTAGCTTCTAAATTGCTGTTAGAGCAGGGAAAGTCCAGCTTTCTGACTGCAAGCGCTGCTCGCTGTTATGGGTAGGGAAACTGAGGCACGGGATGCCTGGATGATGGCAGAGCAGCTCGCAGACCTGCTGATGGATACGGCCGCTCCGGGCAGGCGAGGGATGGATGCCAATGATGATACACGTGCCAATGTGTAAGGGGGAGGACGGGGGTGACCCACCTGACGGCAGTGGTGCTAAAGGAGGCGGAGGAGCGGGTGGAGATGTACGGGTAGTGCTTGGTGTCCAGCTTGTCATCGATGGCATCCTGCAGGCACAGAGGACATGAGCTGGGGGTCAGCATGGCCCCCTCCCAGCCCAAAAGCCCCTCTGTTGGGCTGTGCCCAAGAGGATTGGCCCAGCTGGGTCAGGATTGATTTGCATATATTTGCATAGCATGACTTTTCAGCACGTTTTGGCTGCATTGCTGTAATGGGGTGCTCTTAGGCAGAGGAGGGTGCTGCCTGGCTGCTGTGGGGCAGGGGGGGTGCAGCGTGGGGTATGGGGTGAAGCTCACCCTGAGCTAGAGGGTGTCTGTGGAGATGGGTAAGGCAGGGGTGAAGGAAAAGCCTTCCCCTGGGAAGTGCAAAGCTGGAGGTTTCACACCATGATCCAGCCTGGGGTAAGGGACCTGCTCTTGCTTTCACCAGTGGTGGAGGGTTAACGCCATCTGTGAGATGTTGTTGCCCTGTACAGTCCCTTCTAGTCTGGGGATGGGGTTCAGGGGTGCCCTGGGCATGAAGGCACCCGGGAGGGTTTGTACGGGCTGTGGCGGAGGAAGGCAAGAGCCGTGTGCTTTTGGAAATCGAGGGAGCTGTGGCTCTGCTCCTTGTCGGCGTCTGGGAGCAGAGATGGCCCCCAACTGCAGTGATATCCCCCTCCCCAAAACGTGGCTCCAGGCCCTGCCTGTCTGTCTGAGCAGGTGGGAAATGTCTGTCTTGGGGAGCAGTTTTGGTGCCAGGATCTCCCGGCTCTACGCAAACCCCAGGAGGCTGCTCCGCCAGGATCTCCTGGCTCTACACAAACCCCAGGAGGCTGCTCCGATTCAATGGGTGGTCAGGAGGGAGCGGGTCAGGAGGGAGGGAAGTGCCTGGGAAAAATCCCTTTTTGGCTCTGTCTGGCGTTACTGGAGCACAGAGCTCGCAGGGCCGCTCCCGTGGGTACAGGCAGGGCTGTGCCTGTGGGCAGGGGTGAACGGTGCCGGGGGTGCCGGGACCAGCCCCCAGCTCAGCAGGGACAAGGGTAACGCTGCGACGAGGCCGCTCAGCCGTGCCCATCGTGGCACGTGGTGCAACCAGTTTGCTACAGCATTTTGCGTTGCAGGGATGCTGTGCGCGCCCAGCCAGGGTCGCGCATCCCGCCTGGGGCCAGCGTGCGCACGGAGGGGGCAGGAAAACCTCCCAAAACATCCCAACCTTGTTGCAACTGCAGGCAGCGAGCAGCCCGGCAGGCACGTGTCGGGGAGCAGTGGCAGGGATTGGGCTGGGAGCAGCCAGCTCTCTGCAGGTCCCGTCCCAGGTGGTGCCGAGGTCCCTGCTCCGTGCCCCGTCCCTGTCCTTGCTGGCTCACCTCCATGATGTCCTTAATTACAGGGGTCCATCGGGAGAGCTGGTAGGTCTGCTCGCTGATCCGCTCCTTCCGCTCCGGCTTGCTCCGGCGGCGCAGGGTGGACTGTGCAGAAAGAGCACAGGGACACCCTGAGACACGGGGGCTCCACGGTGGGACTGGGACCAGGACCACCCCCAGAGGGGTGCTGGGGGCATCCCGGAGGGTTCGTGGTTCTCATAGCAGAGCAGGTGCCATGGTCCTTCCAAGGGGCAGGGAGGGGCATGGGGAGCGAGAGGTGGACACTCACATCTGTGATGATGGGCACCCCGAGGTGGGCCATGTTGGTGATGATCTCGCTGTCCTCTGCCGGGATCTGAGCGTGCTGGATCAGCTTATTCAGGTTCTCCTCGGTAATACCTGGAAATGCAGCAGGGAGACGGTGTCCTCCAGAGCAATGGCTCCCCGTGGGGACACAGCCCCTCCGTTGCCACTTTAGGACACCTGGCTTGGTGGTGGTTGGCAGACAGGGCTAAGCCCTCCCATCCGGTTTATCTTGGCCCAACCCTGAGCTCTTTGGCCTGCACGTCTTGCCCACCCTGCCCAGGTGTCCTCCTCACCGTTCTTCAGGAAGATGTAGAGCAAGATGATGCGAATCTTGTCGTAGGTGCTGACGTTCCCATCCAGCAGGATGGGGACAATGGCCCTCATGGGGTCCTTGATCTTCTCGCCTTCAGCGTCGGTGCCCATGGCCAGGTCCTGCAGAGAACGCACACGCTCATCACCCCTCAGCCCACAGTGCTGAGCTGTGGGGCAGGAGCTGCCGGCCCCAGTTGTCCCCGTGGGGATGTGGTGGAGGGGCACTGGGGAAGCTGGTACCTGTTCGACTCTGCAGAGCTTGTCCACTGTGCCCTGGTAGTGCTTCATGCAGTCCTCAGCCAGGTGCAGGTGGGTTGAGTACTGGGGAGACACGAGTGGTGCCGTCACTCTCACAGTGCCAGCAGCAGCCAAAGGTCCCCGTGCCACCCGCCGCCCGCCTCACCCCCTGCCCATGGCCTGGG